GGCATTCCATTATAACCAGTGAGTTTCATAGCCCTTCTCACCAGTGAAATAACCAGTGAGTCATCCAGTTTATGCCTGTTACTCTGGTCTGTCTGGATTTGCCGCCTCAGTCGGTGTTTTGAGGGTGGCTTAGTTTCAGAGACAAAGCTGTTCTTTATAGCTGTTGTTTTACATCTAATTGCGTACTTTTAAAGGGCACAACAGAGTGATAGGTCTGGAACAGGTTGGCTGTCTTTGTATTTAAGATGAAGGTAGCAAGTCTAATGATATATATTTATTTTTTTTAGGTCTGATTGGCTCAATCTTTTCCATCCTGCAGTTTTTCTCCTCTCCTCTCACTGGTGCTGTGTCGGACCGCTTGGGCAGAAGACCTGTCATCTTGATGACAGTGGTATGTGTCGCATGCTTGTTTTAGTCATGCCATCTCAATACGCAGCTGGTCTTGTGGTTAGCACAAAGGATTGGGAAATTGAATGTTCTAGGTTCGATGGCTGTTGGCTGCTTCTTGCCAACAAGGAGCACTTGGCCACACTTCCAAATGCAAGTTCTTAAGCTGAGCTTCCCAGATCCAGAATTGTACATAGGAGGCACCAAAACACCTATCTGTTGCTGGGATTTTCCAAAACCCCTTTCCCCCGTGTATGGGAGTATGACTTCAGATGCTTTGCTTACAAATGTTACCCTTAATCCCTGTATATGTTAGTTCCCCAAGTGACTCATGAGGACTGATCACTTCATGGCCTATTTCACAGAGCCTGGGGATTGTTGGTTAGGAAGTGCTATGTAGCAGTGTAAGATCTATTTCTTATGAATGTGAACATTCTCCAAAACATTTTCTCTGTTGCTGGTATGGGGTTCTATACAGAAGCAGTGCAGAGCAAGTGCGTACATACATGGAGGAACTTGGCAGCAAATGATATACAAATTCCCCTATCCTGTAGGCTTGTGGAGAGTGAATTAAATAAACACGTGTGCATATGATTGATTATTAAATTTAAGGGCTAGAACTGTGAATTCTTCTTATTTTGCAATCAGAATTCTCTTGAAGTTGGAAGAAAGTGAAGTGGGATGTACAAAAGTGGGTTTGTGTCTAGGACTGATTTAGCTCACTCTGAAGTTTCTTTGCTCTTCTACTTTTATTAGTAATCTCACATTTATATGAAGTTTGTGTGGATTTGTTTCTAATTCTTTTATATCACCATCCAGGATATAGTGCAGTATCAGTATATCCAGGCATTTCTTTTACATGGGTTTTGGAGCAGCTGTTGAAAACAAACAAACAAACAAACATGTAGCTGGGAAATATGCAGAAATTATATCAACTTTGCTCAGCTTTATAAAGAACCCTTTCTTGCTTCTGCAGATGGGTTTGATAACATCATACGCACTATGGGCTGCCTCTAGGACTTTCGGCATTTTTCTTCTCTTCAGGATCGTAGGTGGAATAAGCAAAGGGAATGTCAGCCTCTCCACAGCTATAATTGCTGACTTGCACTCTCCAAAAGCACGGAGCAAGGGCATGGTGAGTTACACGTGGGGTATATGCTTGTGTTTGCTGGGTAACTTTTCATTGATTTCAGATGGTCAGAATGTCTTCCTCAGGTGTGTATTCATTGATCAAGTGAAAACATGACTTTATATACTACCTTGCTTCTGAAAAGATGCCAGATCATTTTGCTGGTGAGCTCTCAGACTTTACTTGTCAATGATTTTTACCTGCAAGTGAAATGCAGATGACCCAGAAGTGGAAAAACTACCTGTATAAGTGTTGTAACTGTTACTCCTGCTGATAACTGTAATCCTCGTTATGATAGCTGAGAAATCAGAAGGTCTTATGGCCCAATTTTGGGAGCTGGAAGCCAGTTATAGGGCAACCCATTTTTCTCACCTTTCCAAACTGCGGAAGCACAGCAGTACTGCACAGCACAGTGTGCCTCCTGGCTGCCTTGGATGCTGTACTGGCTTCAGGATCTGAGCTCAGCAGGTAAAGGATGTGGCATTTGGCTGACTGATCAGCAACTACTATGAACAGCTGTCCTGTCCTCTTCCAGAAGGCAGTGGACCAGACGGAAACACCCTGCAGGCTGAACTTTGCCTGTGAATTACCAGTTAGATCTTTTATCTTATAAAAACCTTTGGGGACTGAAGTTCTCTTAACAGATTGTTATAAGCCACTGTGTGGGACAGCTGCTTCTTGGGAGGGGAAAGCTTTCGATTTCACAGTGATAGCTAATGAACTTTCCAAGCAATTTATTATAGTTCTGGTGAACCAAAGTATATTTTTATTTATGGAGAGGTATAGCCATACAGCACTAATAAATAAATCGGGTCAGGGCCTATTTTTAGGGCCTGAGAGCAAGTCACTTAGTACAGCATGGCTCACATCCATATGGCTATACTCTCTTCTTTTTCAGAGCAGAGCAGGCATGTTCATTCTGGTTTCTGGGAAGAGAATAACATCTGACTGATGCTGTTCCCAAACTGTGATGGGGCATTGCCTGTGAGAGTGCTAGCTGGGCAGGCTGAAACAACACTGGAGACTGGGAGGTGACACCTGAGTGTGCCCTGGCCTTGTTTAGTCTAGTACTACAGGTATAGTTAAGTAGACTCAGGAAAGCAGGAGAATCATGTCCCGGGATGACATGTGTTTGGGTCCTGCATATGCGAGTATACATCTTTGAATGTCTCTTAAAGAAAATGAGCCAGATCCTGCACGGTTGTATTCTTAAGCAATCTCACTGAGGCTGATGACTCAAATCAGTGCTCTTTTAAGCTCCCATCCAGTGTGTACAGATTCTACCTCTTTTCCTATGTGCTGGTTTCTTAGTGAGTTCATAAATCCTCTTTAGTACTTGCACTAAATCCAGGTTGTTCTGGGAAGCCTCTCAGGCTGTTTGCTCTATGAGATATAAATTCCTAAGTACAGAAATTGCCAAAGTGTTTTAGAAGCTAGAGACATCATTATGAATTCCTACCATGGTGCCGTTCTCCCTTCTCCAGTTTTACACTACAAAAGTTTATCCTATGGCTGAGCAGTCCATGAGATGAGAATCATTATTTCCCTTCCCAACTTCCTTTCACTCATAACCATGTTGCAGTTTGTTCCTGCCACTTTCTTGACTAGACAGAAAATAAAATCAGTTATTTGGAAATAACAGTTTTTTCACACTTAATGGTTGTTGCTGTGCACCCCCTACATCCTCAGGGTGGTTACGTTCTGTGTCTGGTTGCATTTCTTTAGGATAAATGCCAGGAAATCCATATTGTTTTAGAACTGAGCTACCTGAACAAACTGGTGTCTAAAACTACATGTCTGTGTTCATTATATCACTGCAGGCAATGATCGGCGTTGCTTTCTCCCTTGGTTTTACCCTGGGTCCCATGATCGGAGCCTACCTAGCCATGGAGACAGAGAAAGGAGAAGTCTTCTATCTTCGTTCGGCATTGTTAGCACTCACGTTTGCTGTGGCTGATTTAATTTTCATCTTCTTCCTACTTCCGGAGACACTTCCCAAAGAAAAACGGGTAAATGGACTATCAATCTGAAGATCGGTATTTCTTGCAAAAACAGGATTTGAGAACGGTTGAAATACTGGCAACAATGAAGAAGGGGCTGAGCCAGTATCTCAGGAATTTAGCTCATTTCTGGGACTGGGATTTAATAATATTATTCAGGCTGGTGTCAAAATGGTTGCATGATGGTCCCATCTCCTAGCCCAGTGTAATATGAGAAATTCTTTATAACTAACATGTCTGCTTAATTGCTAGGTTTTGGTGTGTTAGGTTTATATTTCTCAAAAACTAATGGGAGCCTAGGAGGAAGAGGGTGAATTTTAAACTGTGATCACAGTGACTCCCTGGGGGTGAATTTCAGCTAATCATAAAAGTAAGTGCATCAGAGACTGGATTTTCTTTCATTTAGCCAGTATATGTTAGAAATGTTCTTAACTTTTATCTTGTCTTTGCTCATTTTGAACATTCAAGTAGCAAATGACTCTACAAAATATCTACATGTGCTAAAATTCCATGATTGTTTGGATTTGTGGGGCCAAACATTTATTAACATTATGATTTAATATTGTGTGATCAGACACTGTCCAAGATATATCTGATTAAAAGTCTCTTGGAACAGCCTCCTTTGGTAGTGTAGGAGAGACTGAATTCATCCCTAGGTATCTGGGTGAAACACTCGATTTGAGGCCTTCAGCTGGATTGGATCTTTCCTATCGTCCCTTGTTTCTAAGTAGCACTCAGCTGTTGAAGCGTGCTTGGTTTCTGGATCGCCAAACCCATTTCACACTGCAAATTGTTCAGGAAACTTTTATCTGCAATGCTCCTGCCAGGGCAAAACTTTGGACCTTCCCTGAGTGTTTCCCAGCAGGCTGTCCCCCACGTGAAATCGGTTGCTCACATTATCTTCCCGAGCATTACAGCTATTTTTTTTTTTTTAATAGCTCTTCCATGTGTCATCTGTTCCCCTTTCCTATTTGGCTGTTTCTAAAGATTCCAGATAAAATCCTGTTCTTGGTTAGAGCTGCACGCTCTGGGGTGGTGGCAACATATTGATGTAGGGAAGTGCTGTATAACGAATTTTTATTCTATAAACAATTCCACCTTTGCTGTAGAGGGGTAAATGCCTTCAGGGCCTTTTAGGACTGTATGATGACCGAGTATCTGCCCCCTTCTTTTATTATCCTCTTGAGAGTTCTTCTGATAAGCTAGTCTGTGTTAGCCAACATGACTGAATTTTGATAAGAAAATGAATACTCTGTCCCTACTTATTGGGACTGTGTCTCTGTGCAGCAGTGGGTATTCTGTGAGGTGCCTCTCAGGGTCAGGTCCCAGTCATGCAAAATACACAGGGTGTTTGATTGCTGATGAGATAGTGGTTTGTCTGGCACTGGAGCTTCTTGTGATCGGTATCAGTGCTTTTGTCCCATCTCCTTTCATCCTGCATCTGGGCCATGTGATTTATGTGTTCCAGGGTATTTGTAATTTCACTTATTAGGCTGCTTTGCTCTTTTCTTGAGTAATTCCTCCCACTTTCTGAGTGGGAGGAGAGCAGTTTTCGTGGCCCCGGGATGACAGAGGAAAGGCAGGTATGTTGGCTGCCTTTCTGGAACTTGGCTGGGCTGAGCTGGAGCAGGTGCTCCCAAAGTATAGGAATGGATGCGTTGGAAGGACAAAGCTGTAAAAAGAGGGGAAATGATAACGATAACCGGTAGGAGGATGTGCCAGTGGGATCAGACATCTGTTTCCTTGAAATATGCTATGTTCACATCATATTCTTGTTTCTCTCTCAGTCCTCTTTTCACAGGAGCGAAGATCAAGTATTTCACATTCACTCATGTTGCTATTAACTTGTAGAAAGGGGAAGGTGGAGGAGGACAGGGGGAACAAGGATGAGTTTTCATCCAAGGAGAACAGAATTTTTGCTATCCTTCTTCCCCTTTTTTTACAACTGTTCCACAAGTTTATCAGGTGAAAAGTGACCTGAGAACTGTCCCTTTCACCTGTCAGAGACACTGATCTTATGTGAGGTGGCCAAAACAGCTCCTGCTGTGACCTGCCTGGGAGAAGGGAGGAATAGAAAGGTCTCTAGTGGAATCTGTCCCCTTTAAGGGCTTTTGCGTTAATTTTTAGCGAAGTTAGTCATTGCCGAGGCTGCCTAGCTGGAGGGAGGGTCTTACAGCTTTTTTTCCCTGGTGTCCAGCTAATCATGTAAGGACTGTGTGTAGGGCTATGCAGCATCACTAGCAGACTTATGGAAAAACAAGGGGTTTGCTCTATGCGTACTAAACAGTGTCTGAGTTGAAGGGTAAGGCTGGAGCTTGGAAGGTGCAGGCTGCATTCCTGATTTGGACTGACTCTGTGCCTTCAAGACATGTTATTTAGTCTCTCTAAGTAACATTAGAGGAAAACAGAGTAAACAAAGACACTGTGAAAAATGTTTACCATTCAAGGTGCCTTTTGGTGTGATCATGAAGTAAAATTGAGCACTTTTGGAGTAATAAATCATAAGCACGGAAATTAAATACAAGTTCGATGTTGCAGATTTTGCACCTGCCAAGAATCTAAACTCCATGCAGCTGGTGACACTGCCTGAAATTGCCAGTGTATACTTTGTTATTTGGGGGTGGTGAAACACTTTTGTCACTTTGAGGACCATGGACTTTATCAGTGGATGAAGTCACTTCTAGGCTACTGCTTCTAGGGCAAAGATTTAAATTAAAAGAAATTTACGTGCACACACACACGTATATTAAAACAAAAAATCTGATATTTCATAAAACACTTAAGATTTTAAACATATACATATATAATGTATATCCTCCGGACCAAACTAAAATCAGCCTTGTAGTATAAAGCAGCTTGGCACCCTGTCTGACATGGGTAATAATTCAAAACAGGTACAAACTACAGTTTTGTTATTACTGGCAAACACACTTGAAAAGAATTGCTTGTTACTAGATTCTCTATGCTGTGGTACAAACACCATCATGCCAACAATTGCAGGAACTGAGGATTGCTACAAGCCAGCTTCAGGAAATCCTCTTACAGACCTCTTAAAAGCATGAGGAAACTTCTTCTTGGGAGTGTCTGTTTACTCTCTGCAATACATGCAGTGGAAGGGGAGATAAATATCCCAGTTTGTTCTATGTGGATCAGCAGCTTTATGGCTTTATACAAAACCAGCCTGGTATATTGAACTGGTTGCTGTTCAGAGCTCTGCTGTCAGATACCCAGAAGCTCTGACTATCAAAACAAGACAGGGGTCATGTTAATACCGTATTGAATGTTGATTTGTTTACAGCTTTATTAAATCCAGTCCTTATGTGTCTTCAGGTCATACTCTGAGATTAAGTTCCACTGATAATTTGACCTTTAATCTCTGCCCTCAAGGGGATAATAGCTCCCTCCCTCCCTATCTGGGAAGAGAAGGAAGCTCATCAGATAAAGTCTGTGCAGTGCTTTGAAGATGTGAAATACTAAGTATGATTATTCAGGATTCTCTAGTCTGTCTTATCTCTTCCTGTGACTGTCGTGTAAAGTGACAGTCTAAATTCTCCTACTTTAAAAGGAGTTGTTTTCTTAAGAATTTAGACATTATTTCTTCATTAGTATTTTCTTTAATTTCCTATATCTTAGAATAAAAAATAAAAAAATTAAAAAATTAAATTCCCTATAGATGAAAGAATAGGCGTCTCCTAAGCTCCTGTTGATAAAGAGCAGGGAGAGTGCCACTAGATGCAGAATTCGGTTGAGATGTATGGAATACAAGGACCAGAAGTGCTACAAAATAAATTTTCCTCTTCAAAAAGCCACACAGTGTGGCTGGGCAGAATGTCTCTAGAAATCTCTCTAAAATTTCTCCAAGGAATCTCTTTAAAATTATACTTTCCTTTTCTTCCCCAGGAGGTGTCACTGGCTGGCTAAAAGAACAACCAGTACCAAAACAGACTGTTGTTTGATGTGCTGCCCATACTGGTCTCAGACCTGTAGCACACAAGCAAATCCCCAGCTTCGCATGAGCTTGCAGGCAGATGTGCCATTATTTTCCCAGTAAATATTCATTGGACATGAGGGATGATGCAAAAAGTGAACCAAATAAAGCCACCTTTAAGACTGTGGAGAATGAGCCTCTTCTGCTTTTTAAGAACCCAGGGAAGAATCTGTCTTCAGTGAAAGCTGCTGTCAGTGCCCTACCTTCTCGTTACAGTGCTGGAGCCAGTTCTGTGATCAGGAAGTCTGGGATGTTATTGGGGGTCACTCAAACACCAGTGACAGTTGCCTTGTTTCATCTCAGATGATTTGTGTAGGTGTAGAAGCACATTTGACTGTTATTGTCAATTCCTTGTGGTAGTTATTACATCAGGTTTTTAAATAAACCTCTCTCTTTCTCTGATCAGGTCTCTTCTGTGACATCTGGATTTCAGGCAGCAGTTGACTTGCTCAGTCCTTTGGCTTTATTTCAGTTCTCTGCAGTCAGCCGAGGAAAGGAATCCCCTTCGAAGGAGAGTAAGTGTTAGCTGGCTTTTTATAGTAGTATTGTATGTCTTTTTGTATGTGGCAGTGGTTTCTAAGTGAAAACTTTACCCAAACCATTTCAGAAGCAGCACTCTGTTCACTCACTTAAAACCCACCTTACTAACTTACGAACAGGGAATTGCAAGTTCCCTTGGATGCTCGTCCTGTTATTCCCAAAAGAAGGTTTTAAAGATTAATGTTTTGGAGATTTCTGGCTTGCTACTTGCTTTTTCTTCAGGCACTGGCTGCAGTACGGGGTAGGCTGCAGTAAGTGAAGTGATTTAAAAAGATAGATGAAGGCATGAGTAAGGGAGATGTGAGTTTGCTTGTCCAAGCTGCAATCCAGGAAACTTCAGACTGGAATTTTATTTCTTAATTCAGGACTCGGAGATGTGGGATTTGAGCTGGCCGTTTCTCTGTATGAAATTATTTAAGCCGTACAAAATGAGTCAGTGTTTGCCAGGTACACCAACTTGCCATTCAGTCCTCCTTGCTGCTGCATCAGGAATAGAGTAGTATTTGCCACTTTGGAGAAAACTTGTTAAACCCTGCGTTGGCAGAAAAACAAGGTAATCTGTCACAGACCATTTGCAGAAAAAGGGATGCTCTGCTTTAGCCAATATCATCCTGAGAGCAGCATCAAGGTATTAGGTGGAATGCAGGTATTGCTTAAAAATAAGGAAGTAAATCCCAGTGTAGGTGGGGGTGTCAGTGTGAGGCAGAGGGGCTGGACTGGGTGAGTGAGACCAGGGTCACCCAGAGAGCGATTAGTGACCCCTAGCCCTTTTGGCTCTCCTCATAGGAAGGGAGGTAGTGGGCAGAAGTCATTTTATGGCATGTCTGGTATGGATATTTAAAGTGAGCATCTGAGGTGAGAACTTTTCCCTGTGCAGTTGATAAATGTTGCTCTACTATTGTTGTTATATTCTAAAGCTATGTTTGAAAAACACCGCTGTATTTCTCTATCTCTTCCCCCTTCCCCCCCACCCTTGGTGTTTTTTTGTTTGCTTTTTGTTTGTTTAGATCTTCAGAATCTCAAAATCTTGGGCCTGGTTTATTTCCTGTACCTCTTCCTGTTTTCCGGCTTGGAGTATACACTGAGCTTTCTCACTCACCAGCGATTCCACTTCAGCAGGTATAGCACACTTAGTAGATAAATGTTGTATATTTTGTCTGGGGTATTTTCCAAAATCTTGATGTAAGGTCTCTTCATTTATTTTCAAGAGAGGCTTTATGAGGTTAGTAAAAATACTCAGAAAGCAACCGCTGCGTTCAGTGATAGTTTGGCTTTGTGGGAAGAATTTAAGAAAATAAAGGCACACCGTTTATCATGAAAGGAAATACTCATTGGATCTACAACTTTTAGTAGAAAAATTAATACACAAGATACTCTAGAGAAAATCAATACACAAGATTAAATTAAAGCGTCTGAAATATGTATAGCTGGGCTGCTTGTATTGATTATAATAAAACCTTTTCTTTTCTAGCCCAGAAGAGTTCTTCAGTGTCAGGACAAACCTTGAAGCTCGAAAAGGCAAAGGATGGAGGGATAGCTATGTGATTATATTTGCTTGTCAGAGTTTTGCATTGCATAGGGTGTACAGTCATTACATCACGGAGTTTAATTTCCTTTAGTCAAACACTAGAGAAGAAAGAGAACAGAATCCACTAACAGCAGCTCAGCTTGAAATACTTTTCCTGCCAGCTCATAGGAAGATTTCCAGCCAGGAACATGGTCTTGCAGCTTGATTCCTTATGTGTGTTCTTCCCTTTGAGTAATTCTCAGGGGTTTGTCTCATCTTTCCCTGTCTGTCTTTCATTACAGTTCGTGGCTCAACTAATACGTGTGTGTCAAGGAAAGGTTTTCTAGTGTATTAAGCTTGCTTCTGCACAGTCCTTTCAGGATAGCCATGTAGGGAGATATACAACTTCATGCCAACAGCACAGGCTGTGTGGCAAACAAGCTTGTTATGGAGGTGAGAGCTTTAGTTGAGAATATCCACGTAGTTTAGTAGGTAAGCGAGGTGAAAGGGAGATTTGAAGAAATATTTAAGGGTGGAGGGAGTGATGTTGCAAGCTTCCCGGTACAATACATGATCACCGCCATGCCAGTGCCCATGTTGTGCCTTGGTGACCTTAATCAAACTCTGCATGAGTGGTGGCAATGGTTGTGAGAAAGCAGAACACTTGTTCCTTGGAAACCAACAACTCCTGTGCATATGGCACAGAATTCCATGGCACAGGGTAATTAATGTGTTGACTCTTTGTGGGCCACCCTAGAATCAACTAAACTGCATCAGAGCGGTCTAGAAATGAGTGCAGCGTTTGGCAGCAGCTGCCCTATCTCTACGTAAGACCTCAGAGGTTTATCTTCTTGCTGTCTGCCTGCCATGGAAACTAATGTCAGCCTATTAAGAACTTTGCACTACTCATGAGAGTACGAAAAAGCATTTTCTCTCTGTGGTTCAGGAAAGGGTCTACGCTGAACCTGTGAATCCCAGGGTGGAATGCTCTGTGCGTGACTCCATAATCTGTGTTTTTGCCTCCCTTCTAGCATGCAGCAGGGCAAGATGTTTTTCTTTATTGGAATAACAATGGCTGTGATCCAGGGAGGCTACGCTCGCCGAATCAAGCCGGGAAATGAAATCAGAGCTGTAAAAAGGGTAAAAAAAAGTATTCTTTTTCTTTTCTCCCACAAATCTGATATGTTAATTTTCAATCTAAAGTGCAATGAAAGGTAGTTGGAGGCTATAACCTGTACTCATCAATTCGAAATAAATTTCTGTCTCATTAATCCAGCTAAATGACTTCTCAAGACCCTGGTTGTTGGGCATTTATCAGTCTAACTAAACTTTGGAACATTAGAGCCATTTCTTACCATATCAGCTACGATATTATGGAAACGTTGAGTTCTTCATATATAACTGCAGTAGGGAATGAGAACAGTGTGTCTGTCTGTGCAAGCTAGGTAAAATGTTGTGAAGAGTATGCTTTGTTTCAGTGATTTCTCTTGCAGTGCAGACATTGAAACTACTAAAGCTGCTTCAGAGCTGATCTCTGTTTCTGGCAAATTATTTTCAGGGACATCATCAGTCTGGCCATCTCCATGCTTGACAGGCTTTCCCTAGAGTATATTTCACTGGTGGGTGGGGGGAAATAGATTCTTCCTCCAGTCTTCGATTGCTGATCGTCAATATTACATGTAACAATAGCATGTACCAGTTTCAGACAGAAGTTTCACTGGCAAAAGCGTGCATTTCTTTGTTTTGCTTGCCTATTTCTTGATAGAGATGATGATGGTATTCTGCTGGGATGACAGGGACCAGTTCGCTGCAGCTTATACAGCTGTGAGACAAGTAGATATGTTTTGTCATTTGCCTTTGTGCATGGCACTAAACAAAGCAGGTTTCAAGTGTTTCTGAACTTTTGTTGGCTGCTCGGTAATAGGTATGCTTAGACTGTTAAAGCCTCCATCAATTTATTATACTTCCAATGGTGGCAGGGTACAAAAAATTACCAAACTGCACTGCATTCCAGTGAATTGATTCAGCTTTTCTTAAACTTGTTTCTGCTGGTGAAACCATCTCCACCCCGCTCCCTGGCAGGCAGATGTTAATGGCACGTTTGTTGTGTCACACAGGAAGCATTTCCCCGTGAAAGAAAACTCAGGCTGCTGTGCTAATGTGGCTTTATCCTCTGCATCAGCTTCAGCCATGTGCTCTGCCGGCCTGCTGTGTTTGCTGTCACTGCACTGCAGTTTCTGCAAACTGTGGTTTGCCCCACTAATTTTTATACTCCTTCCTCTTCCCTGCACTGAGAAGCATAGTTACCTAGAAATACTCACTTGGTTTTGTTGGTCTGGGCTGGTTGCTTCTCATAAACACCCATGTGCACTGTGCAGAAACCTGCTGGCCCCGGGGCGCTCTTTCTCTGGATGTACGTGGCTTGAGTGGCTTTTGTGGGAGGTCCTCCTTTGGCTGAAGTTATTCTGGTAATGTGTTTGTGAATCTGGATCATACGGCAAATGTGGCCTCTCAGCACTGTGATTACAATAGCTCATTTATAACGGAATCTGCAAAATGAGACATTGGGTGGGAGTGAATACCCTCTTCTGTGAACTGCGCAGCAGATCTTAACTAACCTGTCTTTTCTGTGAAAGCTCTGTGAGGGAGAGATGACAGGGGAACTGAAGTCCAAGCTCTTGGAGGAGATGAAGAATGTTTTTTCTTTTTGGGTTTGAATTTCAAATGCCATTCTCCCCCAGATTTTTTCTTCTTGGCTCCAGAAGTGTGGACTCTGAAGGCTCAAAAGGGTTTGATGTAGCCCTTAAAATCAGTCCATACTGCTGAGAACAAGCAGAGGAGTTGTAGTCCTCTTGCACACAAGCTTTCTGATCTCCCATGCCAGCTCAGGAGATAAAGAATTAAACCTAGATTTCTGTCCAGTTTAACACAGAACAAGAGAAAATAACACCAAAACCCAATAGATAGAGAACTGCAAAAATCCATTTTTCCTCAGCTGTGGGAAGTGGGTGGGGGGATACCTACAGCCTATGTTGCAGGTGACTCCAGCCCGCATGTGGTCTGCAATCATGGGATAGCGAGAGAGAACAGAAAAGTAAATGGTGCTGACGTGTGGCCATCCAGGTGAATTTGAAATGTCTACTTGGGAAGAAAGGGCTTTCTGCTTCTAACTTCATGTAGTGCCATCAGTGGAAGAGAACCGGCAGGACACCTAGAGTTCGGCTTTAACAAGCAGGGCTTAAATGTAACCGTGTGACTCATTCATTTTGCAGGCTATTATGTTGCTGATTCCAGCTTTCTTGTTAATTGGATGGGCTGCAAATGTCACCATGCTGAGTGTTGGACTGTTGCTGTACTCCTTCGGTGAGCTATTCAAAATGCACTGAAAGCTAAGCACAAATAACTTTTCTTCATGTATTTATTCACCCCGTTAAAAAAGATGCACTTCTAATTTCAAACTATGAGTAACAGAAAGTTGATGTTTCTGTTTTTAAAATACGGAAGAAATAGTGTCTGTTTCTTTTCTGATGCTGTTTGTATCACAGGAAGTTGCCAGGGTGATATTTGGAAGCATCCCCAGTGCTCCTGTTGTCCTGTCTCACTGGGGAGCTCCTGAGGGTGTTTTTTTTCCCCCCTCTCATCAGAACTAGAAGCAAAATATTCACTAAATAGCTCAGCTCAGGCAAAGAAGGGAGACAGCATGTCTTTGCATTTCTGTGGTGGCTGCATTATTTCTTAGGCAACAGGCTGACGAGCCGTGCATGTTCAGGCGGAGCGAGAGTGAGGGTAAACCAGCGTTGCCCTGAACGTTGTGGCATGGGGCTGCGCCGGCTGGACACCGCGCTGCTCTCGCGTTCCGAGCTGCTGGCTCGGGGAGGGAGCAAAACTCCGCCTATGGTTCTCGATCAGTGCAGGTGGTTTTCAAAGATGTTTGGGTGTTTACATAAATAATATTCTGCCAATTTAAGCTGTTATTCAGGGAAAAAATTATGAATGAAGTTGGATTCATTTACTGAAGTGCCTGTCTGAAAAGAGATTTCAGATATTCCCAAAGCTGCTAACTATATTTAAGAAGCTTCAAATATGACCAATTACGAAAGTAGAAGACTTCTCTTTCGCATGATACAGCTTGATTTAAGCGTAAACTGCAAACTACAAAATGCATCTATTTAGTAGCTTGCTTGTCTAAGGACAGCTGTGTGTTTGACAAGTTTCAAAATCTACATCGTATCTATAGATTAGCTTGCTTTTGAAAGCCCGCTCGGTGAGGAGGGGCGAGAGGAGGTGTTCATTTTGTCTAACTGTGCTTCTAAGTTAGGAGCCTCGTGTTCCTGGGCTCCATACCTGGGCAGAAGACCCCATCTCTTCCCCAGTCAAGCCAGCTAGAAATGCCTCTGGAGGGGCCTCTTTTCCCCCTCTCCTCCTCCCTCTGCCCCAGGAGTTAGGGCGCCAGCAGTTAAGGCAACGTCTACTGCTCCTGCTCTCCAGTTGTCCTTTCCTTCCCAGAAAAGATTCTGCTTTGTATGCTTAAATTCCTTCTTGGCAGAAAAGGCCCCTATTTCAGTAAGAGGGCAGTGATTGCTGAACAGCTCTTGGCTTTCGTGTCCAAAAATTTTGTAACCTCTTCTTCTTGGACTTGACTTATTTCCCAAGACAGAACGTAGCTGCCTCTTTCATCCATGAGTAGAGTAAAGCTGTATGCATGGGGACAGTGTGATTCCATGTACAGCCCCCTCATTGTCCGTTTGAAATATGGGCGATTCCCTTTCCCTGCTCCACCTGACAAGACCACAGGGATCTGGAAAACTACCAGTGAGCTGATGTGACCTCTCCGCCCCTTTCCCGGGGGCTCACGGAATGAGAGACGCTAATGTGAAACATCTGCTCGGAGCACTCGTGGCTCTGGGCTTTTCGTGCAGGTTGGCTTTGAGGGGGTGTTTTCGTTATTGAACTGGATTAAACCTGATGATTCGTTGTTGGTGCAGTGCCCCAGAGCTCAGCATATTTCTCTGCGGTAGTAAGGAGTTTGGGCCTCTTGTTTTTCACTATTGCTCTTGTAACTGTTTTGAGCTCTCCGCTGCTCATTGACGTTTTGTGGATTTTTCCAGCTGCGGCCATCGTTATCCCGTGTCTGTCAGCAGTGGTGTCAGGCTATGGTGAGTTTCTTTCCGGCTTTGAGCGGCAGCCCTTGGCCACATAACTGACCTTTGCAGAGGCTTGGCTCAAATACAGAATTGACCTCAAGTTTAGCGATGCATCAACAGGAATGCTCGTGGCGTAGGTCCACCTCGGCTCTGAATGCTGGCCCGGTGACTCTGCCTGCTGCTTGGCTTTATAAAAGGCCTCTTTCCCCCCAAATGCACTAACAAGGAGAGCAGAAATGCTAAGTGTTACAGCGACCTGCTCCTCCGTGTTGTACCTATGTCACCCTGAAGCGATAACCAGCCCTGCAGGAGCGAGGCTAAAGCCTAGCAAACCGCCCTCCCCGTCACGTGCGTGCTGCCCTTTCTCAGCACGGCCAGCGATCCAGGGCTGCAGGTACCCTCTGGCCGCACCGTGCCTTGCTGGGGGGAGGCAAACCAGCTGTGTTACCAGCTTCAGCCCCTTCCCTGCAGAGAAGGGAAGCCAAGGGGGCTGCTGGGGGTAGGAAAACAAGACCCTGGCCCTGGGAAATGCAGAAACATCCCGCAAGGGAGCACAGGAACACCCAAAACTGACTTGTACCTGTTTCTGAAAACGGTCAGTGCTCCACGATGGATCGTTTCAGAGCTAACAAACAGCAACGATCTGTTCAGCGCAACCAACAGAATCATGCTTAATTTTGTACTGTGTAACGCAGCTTGTCCCAACGCAATGGGGAAACTGCAGCAACCTTATTTCTGATTACGATTAAAAAGGTGGGGGCCAGTGGGCAAAGGCCACAAGCAGCCCTGAGCAGGGAACGGGCTGGCTTCTCTGAAAGAGACACCAGCCATTGCTGCCAGCAGTAACATCATTTCTTCCCGATTCCTTAGAAAAGAGCTTCTGAAGAACCTTCTGAAACCCTCCAGGGTTGTGGCGCTGGTTGCTACGTAACCTTGCAAAGCAGTTGTAGCTGTGTTGCCATCTGTGGATGACACAGTTCTTTCTTTAGCTCTGGTTCAGTTGGTTGCCAGCACTACAGTGCTCGCGGAGGTGAAAAAGTAAGGCAGCTTTGCTCATTAATGTCACTTTTATGTTGCTCTTATTTAACTTGCACCCATGTGTCTGTATTTATTATACACCTCTGCCTCCCCAGCAAATCCTGTGTACGATGTAAAGATTTTTTTTGTTGGGTTTTTTTGGGGTGGTGGGGAGAGCGCGCTACAAGCTGTCCGTGCACAAGCACTCTTGTCAAGCCCTGGTGTTTTTTCAGTGAGGCAGTCGCCTTTATCTGGCTGGAGGGGAAAGAAAGGCAGCTTGGGCAGTGACTGTGACACGAAAGGAGGGGGAGATGCGTGTGGGAAATTCCTCCAAAAGAACAGGGCCGTAACAGCTCCAGCAGCGCCCTGCCCTGAGCAAAAACCTCCGCCCTGGTAACGGCTCTCTGCTCCCACAGGCTCTGCCAGCCAGAAGGGGCGAGTCATGGGGATCCTGCGGAGCCTGGGCGCCCTCGCCAGAGCCCTGGGACCGATCCTGTCAGCTACAGGTGAGCGCGGCCTCGTGCTCCTTCCTGCCTTTGCCAACGCACGGCATCGCGCTGGGCCCCCGCAGCCCGGGTGGGCCAGCAGCAGGAGCGCGGCACGGGCCCCTTCAGAGCCATAAAGGTGTCTCCGCAGAAGTGGTGCCCCTGAGAGCTGCACCGGGGGGGATGTGGTCCTTGTTAGCACCAACGAAAGCCTCGTGGAGGAGTTAATCTCTGCTTGTATGAGCCTTTTTAAACTAGGGCAGGTATTGCCCGACTTCAAAAACTCCAGCAACAGCATCAAGCTAACCCAGCCCTGCCTGGGGCTGTGCGGGCAGAGGAGCACCGCAGCGGGCCTGGCCCCAGCGCGCAGCGGGAGCCGGAGGCTGGCCAGGAGCCCTTGCCTTTGCTGGGCTTATTGTTAGCCATTTCAGCAAGTAACCCCGCCTGCTGAGGGGCCGCACTGCGCCGGGGGAGCAGGAGTCGGTGAAATCAAGGTCTCCTGTGCTGTGGTAGCTGGTTCCCCGCATCTCATGAAGCTGCAGCCCCACGTGATGCAAATTAAGTAGGGACAGCCCATCATGTGCAGTAAAGGACTTTTCAGCATTAGAAGTAGCTGTAACCTATAAACCAGATGAAAGAGCTCACAGTCTACTACCGCCCCGGTGCTCAGGGAGGTTTGGTGTGCAGTGCCTAGTGGCCCTGGCTAAGGCCAAGCCTAGACTGTGCCTAAGGAGCACAGGTACCCCCTGGGTGGGGTTCGGTTCCCCCAGGCCATTATAGGGTAAAGGGGAGCAGCCATGCAGCAAGTCCGAGCTTGAACTCGGCCCTAAGGTTGAGTTCAAGCACAGCCAGAACCTGTTTCTGGCATTGGATTCCTGAGCGTTTCACGCAGGGAGGCCGATGCCAAGAGCGGCATGGGCAGCGCCAGGAGCAGCCGCGGGGGAGGCGCTGGGGCAGAGCGCGAGTTGCCTTGTGGCGAAAGCCGAATGCCCGAATAGGAGCTTCCCCGGTGCCCTGCCGGCAAGAATGAAAATGCCTGTGTAAAATAACCGCCTCTAACATGCTGTTCGCTGGGAAGAGAACCAGCAGTGCTGCGAGCTGCCTCCCCTTTGTAGCTCGTGCACCAGCCAGGATGCGCAGTGCAAGACGGGGTAGTTGTGTGTTCCCCGGCTGCAGCAGTGGGTGGCCAGAGCCGCGGCTTTGAAGGCGTTCACGCGGCCGCGAGGACAGGCACGCTAACCCGCTCCCTCCTGCTTCCCTTGCAGTTTACTGGCTGGCAGGAGCCGAGGTTTGCTTCACTGTCTGCGGAGCTTTCTTCCTCCTCCCCCTCCTTTTGCTTGGCTCTGTGAACCAGCGGACAAAGGAGGAGTAGGGGGTAACCGCAGAACCACCACCGCCTCCCCCGGACCTCTGCGAGACCCCGCTCCTGGCACCTGCCTGGGATCGGATAGGACGAGGAGGATTTTGATCTTCGGGAAGGGGCTATGCGATCACCATTTCCAACAACAACAGACTCCAGGTTTCTCACAGCCCACCACAAGCAGTTCTGTTTCAGACGGCCTCCCGGCCAGCTCCGCTCGTTTGCAACAGAAAACGAAACAAAACAAAACCCAACACAAAACAGTTGAGTAAAGCATTAAGATCATCAGCCACGCAGAGAGGGGTGACCGCAACGCGGCGCAGTGCAATCCCAGCTCACCCTCGAGCGCGGTTGAACGCCGCCCTGTCACATGCACAGAGCTCTCCTCTGCTCCTCTCCCTTCGCCATCGGCGCGGGCCGGGCCGGTTTTGGCTGGCAGAGAGCAGTCCCCCTGGACCATTGTCATGAGATCCCACAAGGCTCAGTGGGCCTGGGGAAAGCCCTGCCAACCGCCTCGAAACGTGACCAAAGGCTTCCCGAGCCTGACCGGTACTTTGGCGCAGCTGGACTGGTTTTATACAACTGAATTTTGAGAGATGTTTTATATTTCTAATACTGCGTGATGTTTTTTGATGACCAAGCACTGTTGTTTTTACATTACAAATAAACTGCTACACCACCCACTCCCCCAGTCTGTTAATGACACGCTGTTGCACCCCTCTAAACCAAACACGGGGTGCAGGGCCCCTGCGGGGAGCCGAGCCGCCCGCTGACGACCCAGGGTGCTGGCCGAAGGCCAGGGTGGGCAGGAAGGCGGCCTCCAGCAGGTTCTGCCTCCAGGGAAGCCCTGCAGTGGCCAGTTTGGGTATTTGCTGAGAACACATTAAAGCGACCATTAATCAAACACATTAAGCATTAAAAAAAAAATGGAGCAAATTAAATCCAACAGGCTACAGCTGTAGAATAAAACCATACAAGTTTTGAAAGCAGAGCATGATTTTTTTTTTTTTTCAGGGCCCCTGCGGGGAGCCGAGCCGCCCGCTGACGACCCAGGGTGCTGGCCGAAGGCCAGGGTGGGCAGGAAGGCGGCCTCCAGCAGGTTCTGCCTCCAGGGAAGCCCTGCAGTGGCCAGTTTGGGTATTTGCTGAGAACACATTAAAGCGACCATTAATCAAACACATTAAGCATTAAAAAAAAAATGGAGCAAATTAAATCCAACAGGCTACAGCTGTAGAATAAAACCATAAAATTTTGAAAGCAGAGCATGATTTTTTTTTTTTTTTAAAGAGTTTTATTTGTGAGTAGAACTTAATGATACAAGAAAGAAAGAAAAATACAGGACTGTATTCTGCCCCGAAGTGTGTAACCATACCATACATGACTACATTTCATATTGTAATACAAAGAATTAAAAGAACAAACTACAAAATTAGAAATTAAGAGTCATTGCATATGTGGTCAAGATAAATGGAGGGACTCGGTTAAAGAACTGAAACATATAGCAATTAGTCATTTAATTACGACCCTGCAATAAAACACAACTTAGCAAAATAAGTATTGTACGCTTCCTAGTGTACGGAGGACACAGAGGGTTAAAGTACAAGCTGAAAGCCACCCGTGCCACGCGGTCCTGAGGTGCTCGGCCCCGCCGCAGGCGCCTTTGCCCCCGCCACCGGGCAGCTCTCCCGCTCTTCAGCTGCTGCCTGGCCCCGGGTGCCGGCGCCTCCCGCCCCGACCTCGGCCTCGCTCAGCCACGGCTGCGCCCAGCCGCTCAACCCGCCTCTCGCTCGCTGCTTTCTGCTGCGTCAACGTAAGGCATTCGTTTGCTGCTATCTCATAACAGCGTCCTAAAAGGTTGCGGCCCAGTTCTGTTTCGGTGCAGCCGCTGGCTGTGAGCCCGCGCCTCTCCCCTCCCGCGCAGGCCTCCCGAGGAGTTCGCGCTGCGAACGCCCGCAACGCCACCCGCGGGAGCGGAAAGGCTCCCCGCCTCCCCCGCCGACGGCTGGGGCCATGGCGCGTTTCTGCAGAATTCTTGCAAGCTTTCCCTCTCTGATCTCAAGCTACGTGTATGTGACAGGCGGAAGCACAGCCCTAACTGGGAAAGAGCGAGGGCAGTGGTGAAAGTGATTTTCTTTACCATGCTACATATTAAACAACCATTTATAGCAAACGGTGAAAATACGCCTTTAAGGTTACGTGGGATTTCTGTACTTTACTGCTGGCAAAAACAACAACAAAATTAAAGAAATGCCGGTTTTTGTAAGTAAGTGAAAATAATTAATACAAAAAAAGGTTAAATAGTCGGTGTAACGCATTTACGTGTTTACCATGGGAAGGAACAAAGACAAAAGGCCACAAAGAGGGTTGGCGTGGGCGCCCCAGGGGTTTAAGAGGGTGAAAACCCCCCTGTGCTAAGGCCCAAAATGCCCACGCTCCACCCCGCCAGCTGGAGAACTTCTGAAATACTTTTAATACAGTTACTTTTTAACGGCCAAATTGCCACAGGATTCCTAGGGAGGCGAGGCTGAAAGACAGACTTCCCTTACACTGTGTTCACTAGGAAAAAAATAAAAGACTGGGCTCTTTCAACACACAACAGGAGCGAACACACCACAGCTATTTCAGTCCTAGACATCGCAGGTGATTTCAAGTGCCAGTTATAAAGTAAAACAGAGTGAGGAACACCTTCAGTTTGTTACAATAGCCAGAGGGGAGAAAGCGAGGAAGGAACGGACGGCCGCAAAGCCTGACTACGACGTGACCGGGAATCACAAGCTTGCAGAAGTTTACGGGTCAGTTCAGGAACACCTCCCCCTCCGCATCACCGGGGCAAAAGCATCCTCTCTCACAGTCAGTGAAGAAGAAATTTACTTGTGACCTGGAGCAGAATATTGGAAAAGAACACTTCTTCTGGTAAGCAGCGTGTGCTTTATTTCCAATTGTGAATTTTTTTTTATTCTTTTGTAAAGCAGTGCATGCTTTAAATTAAAAATAGCGATGCCATGCCTTCCACATGGAAGTCATTTACCTTTGATTACGAATTAGGGATCAGATCTGTGGCAGCTGCTGAAAACAGAGGATTAGCACCTTTTGGACATTAGCTTCTGGTTATAACCTTAAACAATCAAGCCACAACTCGAGGGGCTGGTTGGATTACTTGCTGCATTCATTTACGCAATAAGACAAAACACTCGGTACGATCTGGTACATTCTAGTGGTTAATGAATTTTAAAATATGACAGTGGTTCTGCAGTGCGTGTGGCCTTTAGGAGTCACTCTTCTTTTTGCTCTTCTTCAGGAAGGAAGGAGTGCGAAACTTCTTTTTCTTTTTCGATGGGGACTTCCCTGGGGATTCATCGCTGCCTGCCTCGGCTGCTGTCCCCTCCTCAGCGGTTGGTGTCACCGGCTCTTCAGCGGGTCGAGAGGGGGGCTCCTTAGTTTCCACCGCAGGTGATTCCGTTGGGCTTTTGGGCACATCCTCATCACATCTCCCTTCCTCCTTTCCCAAGGGAGGGAAGCCGAGTGCTTCTGAAGGCTCATCAGGGGTGAGATCTGGGAGGGTTTGCTTGAAAGTTGCAGCATCACTGTCATCTTTGTCGGTCTGGTCCGGCTGGGTCTCTAGCGGACGGACAGACAATGGCACAGTTAGTTTACCTAAGTGTCCCTAGGACAGAGAGAGCAAAGCAAGGTGATGGTGAGCGCTCCTGATAGAAGAGCTCGGATATTCACTGGGCATAAAGCCTTTGTAAGAGGTCTGTTCCCCTTCAGCTTCGGGCACAGAGACAGAAACAAGGTGTTCCAAAGTTTTGTTTGGTTTTAAGCTTCTTGCCACGGAAGAGAGAAAGCTGAATTCCATCACGTGGGTGCAAACCAGCAAGAAAGCGACTGTTCAGACTTCTCGTGTGTCTTATTTATAGCATTTGCAAGCTACGTGAGATTTTAGTGCAGTAAGCAGGA